GGCTCATCTTGTCAACTTAATAGACTGATCCAAATGTAACTTGGACTTGATTTTAGTCATATAATTTTGGAAAAATTACAGAAATCTCACATTTTAGTTTACTTATTACCATTATCCTCTATAAGTTTTACAAATCTCCAAAATCCCTCATTTTCGCGCATCAGATTAGTGTATCTCGCGCATCAGATTAGTGTATCATGCATAAAATGTACATCAGATTAGTGTATCATGTATAAAATGTAATGTATCTTACTTAACGATTAATGTATCTCGCGCATCAGATTAATGTATCATCGCTTATATTATTGTATCCGTTTGAGAGATTTCTGTAATTATAAACTTTTAAGGGATAAATTGTAATTTTGCCTTAAAAGTATGTGATTTCTGTAATTTGCCCTATAATTTTGGCTTAAATATTAATCTGATTTTATTAACCAGTAATTTGACCTGGTCAACGTATCATGAATTTAAGATTTAATCCAAATTTTGTATGGATTTATCAATAAAATTTTACTGTCTACAAATGTATATTAGTCTAGATTTTGAGACAAAATTTAGAGAATAAGTAATTAATGTTGAAAGTACAATTAAAAATTATAATTATTTTTCTTATTATGGTAAAAGCGACAAATAAAAGTAAAAAATTATTTTTAAAATACTGAACAAATAAAAATAAACGGAGTATAATATATACTCCCAATAGTTTTAACTTATCTTATATGAGACTCCTAAATTTTCTTTTGGATAGAGGTGGAAATCACAAAGGATGTTCCCAACTATTAATTACTTTCTTCGTACATTGACAATGTAGAATTTAAAAGTTATATGTTTTTTGCGCTAGTCTTAAATAAATATAACAGTAATAATTAAGTTTAAAATCAAATAGGCATTGAATGCCTTGTTGCATAGGGTTTATTTAATGTTATTTATGTCTTATGAGTTGAATCTGTCGTATAGGATTTATTTAATGCTATTTACATTTTCTATGTGATTTGCAAGCTACTACACAGTGGGGGGCCGAGTTTACCCTACGCAAACAAAGTGCTTACCATATAGAACAGAGGATGACGGAGATTATAGTGACGACGAATTATCTTAAATTCCGAAAGGAAAAGGTTTGAAGAGATATTAATATGTTTCCGAATTTTCGTGAACCCGTATATTAAATGGCATATTAGGCGAAATACACAACTAACATATAATTAGCCTTAATTTCAGATAAATTGTGATGATTCATTATAATTTATACATATCTTTAATTATGTCGGTCCTTTTAAAATTTAAATATACTTGAATGTTGAATTTCTTAAATTTAAAAATATAATAGTATCACACTTAAAAGTTTTTTAGCCGAATACATCGTTCTAGTGAAGACAATTATCATTTAATAAAAGTATTATAATTAACTTTGGCTTTTATTATCAAATACATAAAAGTAAATTGAATAATTTACACCTTAAATAAGAACATGTAATACACAAGAATTTATAAAAATTCAAACGGTTATTTTTTGGGGGGTATTTACTTCACAATTAATTAGATATCGATAACATCATTAATAGCATATATGGCTTTTCAATATATATAACGGTAAAAAATAATAATGAACCAATCCGCTGAGAAGCCTAAAAATATAAATGCTTCGTAAAAAACATTTAAATGCAAGGAAGTAATCTATTATGCTGGCATAAATGCTAAAAAGTGCTATAAAAATAGTTGTTTTTTTATAGAAAAAAATATTTTAAAAATCCCTTAATTGAAGGAAAATGAAAGTTGAAACCACACCTATATCCATATCTGAATTTATATTATATCAGTTAATTTAATTTTAATAGTTGAAAAATACATTATGTCTGAATGACATATATTTTATATTTATTGATTTGATATAACACGTGCGAATAAATATTTACAGTTTGAGTAACATCATTGACTATTTTTTTCAATTTTGTTGACAAAAGTGCATATCTCTAATAAATTGTGTAGCTAGTTTCCAACAAGTAGAATTAGTAGTAATACTTTTTCCAGACTAATTGGGAGTGTCACCACACCAAATATAATAAGTCTAAAAAGTGAGAGAAACAAATATTTACCGCAAAATTAAAGAATCAAATAATAATTGAGAGGTCTCCAAATGTTGACAAATCTAACAACAACAATATAACGTGGGTGGGTCCAATAATCCAACCATATTCTATGAAAAAAGCACTTTTATTTTTTGAATTTTCATTTATGTTTGGTTAATAATACTATACTATTTAGTTCATTTTCATAGGAAATATATTTTATTAGTATATATTATGAAAGATTTTGATTAAATTATATATTTATTTGATCTAAAGGTATTTAATATAAATTTGCAATTAATATAATATATAAATTACTTATAAAAAATGTTAAATACTATTAACATTAATATGGAATTTAACTATCCTAAAAAAATATCAAGCAAAATAAATCACTACTTATAAAAATTCACCACAAAATAAGTAAAATCCTTCATATATTATGAAGATTTCAAGATCCTTCATCTATTATAGAGATTTCAAAGTCCTACATACTTTACGGAGATTTCAAGATCCTTCATACATTACGGAGATTTCATAATCCTTCATACTTTACGAAGATTTCAAGATCTTCGAACATAACGACGAATATTCCTACTTTTATCACACAATAGTAATAGTAGGAGATCTATTATTTTAATTATCCATTCTGAAAGTTTTTTTATTGATTTTATTTTTATTTAATCTAAAAGTATATATTATATACTTGCAACATAATATATATATATATATATATATATAAAAAATAAAATATAAACATTATAAATATATTAAATATTGTCGATTGATGATTAAGAAATATCTAGCAAAATAAATTCAAACAATTTCATAAATTAAATTACTCAATATGAAAATTCACCACAAAATAAAATAAGATCCTTCATACACTACGAAATGTATGAAGATTTCAAGATCCTTACATTACGAAGATTTAAAGATCTTTTATACTTTACAAAGATTTCAAGTTCCTTCACATATTACGATGATTTCATTCCTACTTTTATCATGCAACTCCATAATAGTAGAAGATCTACTATCATATAGTTTATCCACTTGCATTTTCAATATTTATAGGCAGGAATTTTTAATCATTTTTTTTCTTAATTTATATCCTGATTTAACCAGACTCTCTTACTTATAATAATAATATATAAAATAAAAATAAAGAAATTGTATTGCTTAAAAAAATTATAAAATTCTGAAATAAAATTAACAAAATTTACAAAATATGTTAATTAACTAATGATCTATATATAATTATATATTGATAAACCAAATGTATAAAATGTAAATCATGGGAGATTTTTTTCTTTTACTTTTTTTTATAATGAAGCAACGTTTTTTTTTTTTAGCTTTTTTCTAATCATAAAAAAGTTGTTTTTGTTCTTATTTACAAGTAATTTTACTACTTAGCTAAACATTTTAAGTTTTCAAAAATTATATTTTTAACACTTTAATCATTTAGTCAAACATACTTTTAATAATGAAAGAGTAATTATCATCCCACGCAATAGGATAAACGGGAGGGTACCAGCATTTAGGTCTTATGGTCCATCAAACACCAACGTGTCCTTTCACATTTTTAATTTCTGTCATTTTCTTGTCATTGTACAGCTGTCCATTTCCTTATGGGCCACATATACTTAATCTTATATTTTTAATCTTAAAATTAGCTTAATGTCTGACTAATATGATTTTGGAATCTCATTATTTAATATAATTTGTTTACAGTTGAAACAAATGAAGGAAAGGGTATTAGGTGGCGTCTCAGTCGAAAATTTTGATTAATTCAACCAAACATTAGGAAAGAACCTTCTTTTAATTTTCAACTAACTCAAATCATTTTCTTCAAGGGTAAGTAATTATTTTCTAACTAGCAACCAAACAAAATATCATTTATACATGATTTTAAATATTCATTACATAGATAAGTTAACTACTTACAATATATTACATCATTTTATTATAAAAATTAGCTTCAATAAGCAGGGGCGGACTCACATGGAGTCCGGCGGATGCTGGTTAACCTCGTCTTAGTATATATATCTATGTTGAAATAAAGAGGTATTTGTATAAAATTAACTAGAGCACCCAATTAACAAATGGTTGACTGGTCTATTGACTCGTGAGTGGGTGCTTAAGGTTTTTTTAGTATTGTTGAGCCTGAGTTTGAATCTCACTATTAATATGTCTCGCCACTTTTAGAACACCTACAACCTTAAAACCCTAAATTTGTCATTGTCAATAAGTCGACGACCTCAAGCGCGTATTCTCAAACACACATCAAATAAATAAGTTAACTATATAAAATATACCATTTCTTTTAGGGAAAAAGGACAAATATATCCTAAACTATCGTAAATGTTATGCAAATATCCCCGTCATACTTTTGGGACATTGGTTCCTTTGCCATCCAAAAACTAGAACATATACCCTTTATACTAACAGACATACACGTTTCATAATCTTATCTACCGACCTGACATTTATTAAATATCAGATCGATGGATAAGATTGCACTACGTGTCCCTATTTAGTCTTCCGTTAAAATAAAGAGCATAAATGCTCTAATTTTAGGACGGCAGAAACACTAATATCCCAAAAGTATGACGGATAGTATTTACAAATATATTTATCATTTTTCCAATTTTAATTAAGACATATCATAATTCAAGTATATCTAAATAAAATTTATTGAGACATATCATAATTCGAGTATATCCAAATAAAATTAGACTAATTAATTACATATTCTAGACACAATTATGTTGAAGAGACATGTATGTGTGTATATAGTATGTACATAATCTCTCTATGATGGGCTATGTGCATCCACCCTATGAATAGCTGGCCATTATTGAGGAAGCCTTTTTCCTTTATATATAAGCTGAGTCTTCTTTCTTAAATCATTACTTCTTACAGAGAGGAGAAAAACACTCAAAAGTTGGAAGAAAAAAATGGAAACTTTTTCTGATCTATCATCAACAACAACAAGATCCAGGTCTTGTGAAAGCTTTTTTAATGATGGTGTTGAGCAAATACCAGAGGTAGTGGAAGAGGAAGAAGAACAAATGGAGGAGATTTCTTGGAATACCAACACACCACAAAGTGGCTGGTTCAGGAATGTTGAGGAGCCATGGTTGAATAGTAGATCTCAAAAGAAGAAAAATCAAGTCTTTCTTGAAGGGTATGTAGAAAATTCAGATGAAGATGAACTAGGGAGGACAAAGAGTTTGACAGATGATGATTTGGAGGAGCTTAAAGGGTGTTTGGATCTTGGTTTTGGGTTTAGTTATGATGAAATTCCTGAGCTTTGTAATACTTTACCAGCTCTTGAACTTTGCTATTCTATGAGCCAAAAAGTACCTTGATGAACAGCAGAAGTGTTCTGATGCTATGTCTGATACTGGTTCTTCAGGATCTGGTCATGTTGCTAATTGGAAGATCTCAAGTCCTGGTGAGTCTTTTTTCCTCTCTCTCTAGGGTTTTGAATCTGTTCATAAATCTTGACAAGGGTTTGTGATAATCTTGAAATTGTTCTCTTTCTAGTTACTGGAATTGCTTGTTAAAGCTTTCATTTTTGTGAAGAAGAGGTGGAGTCTTTGGAGTTATAAACTCTTTGTTCCTTACTTTTTAGCTTTTCTGGAACAAAAGACTAAACCCCAATAGGAGAAAAGGAATCTTTTTGTTATGTGATTCTTGTTTTTGGTTTTTTATGAAGGTGAAGATCATCAAAATCTTCAAATTTTGAAATGGAATGTAACTCAATTTGTTGCTCAATTGTCATTGTTTATGTCACTAATCCTGATACATTTTTGTGTAACCTCAGGTGATGATCCTGAAGATGTGAAAGCAAGGCTGAAATACTGGGCTCAAGCTGTGGCGTGCACCGTTAAGTTATGTAACTAAAAAGGGGAGAATGGAAGCCAAGAAAAGCTTAATGCAAAAAACAAAGAGATCAGAGGAGAAATGAGATGATCTTTTCTTCATATGGAAGAGTACTTGTGCTCTCTTTGCCTGGATCCTGAAAAAAAAGGCTATGGCCACAGGGCCACCTCATGCTTTACCTGAAGATAGATTCAAAAAGAATCATGTCCATGATGGGTAGGCAAAAGTTTAATCAAAATCCCAAGTAGAAGAATATAAGATGAAGAGATGTTTCAGGTCTAAGATTAACCAACACATGGAATAAATTTAACCCTGATATAACTTTGTGTATCAGTTTCAGTCCAAGATTGAAGTAACCAAAATCTCAGTTCTTCTTCATGTTTTAATTTTGTTTTCTTATGTATTGCTGATCAAAATACTGTTCTTGGTTAATGATAAATCAAGTCTCTTCCTTGTCTGGTCTACGTGTTTAACAGAATTCAATTTATTCTTTTTTTTTTCAGATAGATAGGAACAATCAATCAATCTACTTACATGTCAGATTCATTATGTAAAATTATTCTAACAGTATCTTTGAAACGTTTAACAGAGTCTTTATTTCAAAGGGATAAAAAAAATGAAGCATATTCTGATTCTAAGATATCCTTGTAAGTTGTGGCTGATTGGTAGCCACATGGTGTAGAGTGCCTCATCACAATTCTGTGAAGGAATCAAATCCCTAATAGAAGATTTCTTGGGAAGTTGCGCGTTTGACTGTAAAAATAGTATCTTGTAGAAATACTGAATAAGATTGCGTACCATAGGCCACAATCCTTCCCTCCGAGCATGCGTGTTGTGGAAGCTTAGTGCACTAAAGTTTGGTACATTATGCATATCTTTAATTTAAGACCAGAAAATTCAAATACGTGTCAAATCAAAATCTTACAATATCATGAGACTCAAAATTTCCTTGCGTAGAGTGGCAAATGAACATTCCTTGTTTGTTCAAAATCTTGAAACACATTTTTAAAAAAATGCTCTCATTAACTCAACCTCTGCAGAAAGATTGTTCTCATATTTCTAGAGCATGAGAATCATCATATTTCGTAGAACATCGTTCATAGCACCAACAATAATCAGTCTACCCACACAACATTGTAGTGAGACATTTTGCACACAATTTATTTCTTATTATTAAGGCGATAACATGCTTGTATATCGAGTTACTATAGTCACGAGTCATTGAAACAACTACTATGCAACTTTTATTTTTACAAATTCATGGCAATGAACGAGTTTACACAACCAAAGTACATCAACAAGTAAAAAAAAAAAAAACTAAGGGGGTGGGGTACAAGCTCGCTTGTTTCGTAGGCAGGGAAGAAGGAAAAAGATAGAACCATGAAAGCACTTCCAACTAAAGGTCATCAATACATATGCTGAACTCTCACACCTGTTGAGCTCAAGCCACACCCAACAGATTTTGTATGTCTTTCTGTAAAAAGGACAAGAAAGAGGAATATTAGTAGCATATACAGAGAAAAAATGGTTTCATAAATGTTTATCTCAAATCTGGTTCTTGCATTTTTCCCTATCTAATGAAACATAATATTCGTAGACCGGTAATCTTCATTATGTTGGAAAAATGATTCTAGTATCTCAAAAGGAATTATTTTATTTCCTATTATACTAGAAAGAGAATATTATTTTATGTCCGAAATATTTTCTCTCCATAAATAATATTCTATTGCCATTATTATTATCCTTTAATTAGTCATTATTTTCTGTCATAATATGGCTATTACCAAACGTCTCTTTACTGAAATGAATTGCCTTCAATTCATTAATTGTGTTCAATGCCTTTTGACATAGTAGAGAGCTTACTAATTTCCTATATAAATCTAATTTTATTGATGGTGAGTGAGAGTGGATGCAAGATAACAATTCTTCTTTTAATATATTCTTATGTTGGGTTTTCTTTCTATTGAATCTATGTTAGTTTCTGGCTCCTAGTTTTATACTAGAAGAGCTTGTTGAATCCTGGGGATACACCCATACCGGGTGAAATATCCTTAAGGACAGTGTCTTTCGACACGCCTCAAGCTATGAGAATTTCCTATAATAGTTATTGGTGAAGTACAAGCTTTGGTGAATTTGGTACAAGTGTTCGTCAAGAAGGTATTTTCCGTAAGATTTACAACAATCTTAAGAACCATTGTATTTTCTGTAAGAAGGTATCAATCTTAAGAAGGTAACATAATGAAGATTGTTGTAAATCTTACGGAAAATATCTTCATCACGAACACTTGTACGAAATTCACTAAAGCTTGTACTTCACCAATAACTATTATAGGAAATTCTCATAGCTTGAGGCATGTCAAAAGACACTGTCCTTAAGGATATTTTACCCGGTATGGGTGTATCCCCAGGATTAAACAAGCTCTGCTAGTATAAAAATAGGAGCCAGAAACTAACAAAGATTTAATAGAAAGAAACTCAGCATAAGAATATATTAAAAGAAGAATTGTTATCTTGTCTCCACTCTTTCTCACCATCAGTAAGAATTAGATTTATATAGGAAATTAGTAACCTCTCTAATATGTCAATGGTTGAAATAGTCAAAAGGCATTGAACACAATTAATGAATTGAAGACAATTCATTTAAGCAAAGAGACGTTTGGTAACAGCCATATTATGACAGAAAATAATGGTTAATTAAGGATAATAATAATGGAAATAGAATATTATTTATGGAGAGAAAATATTTAGGACATAAAATAATATTCTCTTTCAAGTATAATAGGAAATAAAATAATTTCTTTTGAGATACTAGAATCATTTTTCCAACAACTTATGCAGTATATCATCATAAACACACGACGGTAATTTGAGAAAGATGTAGAGAAAGGTAGTATATGAATGAACAAACGAAAAACAGTTAAAGTTTACCTCAAATTGAAGAGGTGGTGTCTTGGGTGCATATCGTTCCACAACCTTTCCTTCTTTGTCCACAAGGAATTTGGTGAAGTTCCATTTGACAGCATTTCCAAGGAAACCACCTTTTTCTGATTTTAAGAACTTGTAAAGTGGTGCAGCATTATCCCCGTTCACATCAATCTGTGGAATCAAATAACTTCCTTAAATGACATGGAGTTTATGGCAATATATATACACACGTAACGTAGTAACTGAGAATACAAAGGGAGATAGTTATGAGTTTCATCTTAGGATGGTTTCTGAGTTTCATATTCTGTTCCATGGCTTATTCCCAAGCAAGTTTTTATAGAGAAGAAAGAGCAGATAGGAAATAGAGAGACAAGGCAAAACCTTGGTGCCTGAGATATGGGAGAAACATGCTCAGAAAATGCGCCGGTAATCTGCTGACAGGGTCGAACAAAATGATATAACCAACTTTTGCACAAAGCCTACAAAGTTTGGACTGTTCACGGAGCTACTTAAAAGTAGTGTGCATCTTATTATGTCGTTCCCTGATAACAACTTGATAATTTTACAGATGTTCAGAGGTTCCAACAACAACAACATACCCAGTGAAATCCCACTAATTGGGGTCTTGGGAGGATAGAGTGTATGCAAACCTTACCACTACCTCGAGGAGGTAGAGTTCAGAGGTTCCAAGAAAACCTTTAAAAAGAAAATTGGAGATCCTGCAAAGAACATATATCCACGCTAGAATACCCAAAGCTTTACATAATTTTAATGTTCAACCATGCATCACCAGAAATTGATCAGAAGGTAACAATCAATTGTTCATTCTTGAGAGGTTAATATTTTTGGGGAAAAAGAAGTTCTTATGTGCAGTATCGCAAAATATGCCGTGATCAATTGTTCATTCTTGAGAGGTTAATATTGTTGGGGAAAAAGAAGTTCTTATGTGCAGTATCGCAAAATATGCCGTGATTAAGTTAAACTAAAAGAAAGCGTTCAAAGATGAAAGCAACTAGAGATCTGGAAAATGATTCCAGTTATACGCTTTTGGGCTATCATACAACAGCTGTTACCTTTTCAAATACAGGGAATTCAGCTTTGAACCTGGTGCATACAGTTTGCTGAATCTCCTCATTTGTTCCGGGCTCTTGCCACAGAAACTGGTTACAAGGAAATGCTAAAATTTCAAAACCTGAAATAGAGCATTACTGGTTATGTTTATGACCACGCAGTATAGTTCAATAGAAATTAATCAGAGACTGAAATTGAAGAAATAAACGAATTGCCAACCTTGATCTTTGTACTTCTCATACAAAACATTCAGCTCCTTGTAGTTTGAATCTGTTAAACCACTGCAAGGGAAAAAAGATAACACAAAATAGGTGAAGACAGGAAAGATTGCCTTTAATAATATTCGTGCTTCATTCCCTATTTAAGCAGAAATACTAGCTACTCATTAACTTCAATAAAGCAACAAAGCTAGCACAAAACCATTAAGAATTGTAAGTCTTACTATTCTGAGATTTCAAAACACATGCACCAAAGAAAGTATATCATTGACTTAAGAAATAGAAGCACTTATCACTTAACAAAATAAGAAATAACACTTACCAATTTCAGTGCGGGGAAATTTACAAATACTATTATACTGTTATTCAACAATATATAGAAGCTAGTAATTTAAGTTAATCTTGAGCATGTCGTCAAAGACATTGTGATATATCATCATGAATCAACATCAACATCTAAGACAGTCCAAAACTATGAAAACACTAACGTCAAATTTTCGTTATTGCATTTTTGCAAATGAATTACAAGTTAAATAACTACAAGAAGTTCAAAGAACCTGCTAGCAATTTCTCTAGTCAGGGAATCTAGAAAAGAATGTAGGAGGATTAATGTAAATTAAAACAGAAACACATCTTTAAGGAATTTTCCAACTAGCAAAAACATACTAATCAGAATAACAGAAATTAACCCCATACGAGTACATCTAGTTTGTGGCAATTAACATTATCATTATACAATAAAACTTAAATGCACCCAATAGCACAATATTTGACATATCATTCACTCTCCAGAAGTAACTAGATCTTAGTCACACTTATTCGCACGTTGTTATAACTTATAACTCATAAGTCAGATTAGTGAAGCAGTTGAGACACTTCTAAATCGAAACCAAGTCTACACCTAATTGCAGCGATAAAGCAAGACAAAAGGAAAAAACCAAGACAGAAACTATATTACTTCACTTACCATTTTGATGCAACATTGACAATAAGAAGAACCTTTCCCCTATAATTGCTCAAAGGTACCTCATTTCCCTGTATATCCTGCATTTTCAATCTCATTAGCAAGCTTAAAAACCATGTTCTAACATAAAAAAGAAAAAAAAGTTTAGCCAGAGTTGCTTAGTTCTCTCATAATTTGTTAATCCTCAACTATTCAAACCTTTTGAATTCCAATAGTTAGTTGAATTTTGAAAGTTCATAATCTAAGTAATCCAATCAATTATGCCTAATGATTAGAATTATACTCTGAACTAGTTTAACATTCATCTCAAATTCCTAATAAGTGACTAAAGTATAGCGGCAAATAACAGGAACTTGAGTTACCTGTCCAAAAAAAACTGAACTTCACTAAATCCAAATTAGACTCTACAACAACAGCATACCCAGTGTATTCCCACAAGGTGGGTCCGGGAAGGATAAAGAATACATAAACCTTACCCCTACCTCATGAAGATAGAGAGGGTGTTTCAGAAAGAAGCTTAGCTCAAGTAACACATTAAATTAGACTCTAGATAAGTGGATCATAAAATTGATAAATGCAAACAGTATTTCAAAGTGAACACAACCAAACTATGGTTCTGCAAGCATGCAGAAACTGTCTTAGGGTCTCTCCTCCCCACTATCAACACCACCCTCCCACCCCCCAAGCACACACACACAAAGAAAGTGTTACTATCTACATAACTTCAAGAAAGAGATAGAATATAACAAGTGGGTACTAGAAAGATGAAACCAAATAACACCATAAACCAAACTTCAAAAGCAATATTCAATAAAAATTGAATCTTTCTTCAACTTTCAGCAAAAGAAACCAAAACAACAAGTGGGTATTACAGATATGAAACCAAATAACACCAAAATCCAAACTTCAAAAGCAATATGCAATAAAAATTGAATATTTCAGCAAAAGAAACCAAAACAACAAGTGGGTATTACAGATATGAAACCAAATAACACCAAAATCCAAACCTCAAAAGCAATAAGCAATAAAAATTGAATCTTTCTTCAACTTTCAAGAAAAGAAATCAAAACGAAAACTTGAAAACTCAAGAACAAGGGAAACCCCAAAAAGTGTATACCTTGACAGTGAAATCATAAATGGATTTTGGTGATCCTTCAGCCATAGAAGAAAAAGATGGGTATCTATAGAACAAGAACAAAGCAATAACAAGAAAGAAAAGAGCAGCCAAATTGGTGAAACTCAGCATCTTCTTATTCTATCTAACCTATGCATATATAAGTCAAAAAAATTAAATGGGGTAATCAAAATCAAATAAGATATTTGGCAATGAAAGCGAAATTTATTACTTTAATTAGTAGTTAATTATTGATATGGAAAATGAGCTCTTAATTTCGGTAGTTGTTGCTTCTTCCATATGAATTATCAACTGTTTAGCTGACAAGCAAGGCAGATGTGAATATTTTGACTATTAAAAGAACTGTTTTTTATTTTTGGAGTTTCTTTTGTTGAAATTTGAACTTTTTACATTTTTCTGCAATGGAATATTTATAAATTAAACGTACCGTAAAGAAATTGTAATTTACTTAATTAACTTAAGTAAGTAACTAGCCTTTGAGAACACGAGTAAAAAAAGTTTACTTTGAATTGAAAGTATGTAGTGTGAATATCTTTATTATGTGTTTAGATATTCAAAGTATAAAAATGTGAGTATTTAAATAAGATATAATGATGAATTTAATGAGTCGTGATGTAGTGAGTCTTTGGTGGATTATGTTTTTGTCTAAATTGGAGAGAAGACCCAAAATAGTGCATCATTTTTAGGTTAAGATTCAAAATCATTCTTGAGTTTTCACATGAAACACTAATAGTTCCTCATGTTTGCAATATTGGTGCACTTTTGGTCCTCCCTAAACTTTTGCCTATTTTTTAACATTAATTTTGTTCATAATTTTATGTAAGGAATGTCCCATCGTCTTATTATATATTTAGTAGAAATAATAATTCTATGTGAGAGAAGGTGAGAAGAAGAACACCTTGTTCTGTTCAGTATAATATTATTGCAACTAAACTAAGAACATTTTAGCTTATAATATTGCAAGAAAAGAAAAAAATGTACTATTGCACGAGAAATCATCGTGATGAACCTCTCGACTTTACCTGCAATACAATTTCTACTAAACAAACCAATGTGTTTTTCTTCTCACAATCTCTCACATGGAGTTACTATTTCTACTAAATATATAAAATGACGATTAAACATTTCATACATAAATTATGAATAAAATCAATGTTAAAAAACATTAGGCAAAATTTTGAAGGAGGATCAAAAGTGCACCAATATTGCAAACATGAGAGACTATTAATGCTCCATGATGACTTTGAGTCTTAACACAAAGATGAGAGACTATTTTGGGCCTTTTCTCTCTAAATTGAGTCGAGCGGTAATTTTTCTACTTTTATGATAGTGGTAGTATACTCTATTTTTTTAGATTCATCTTTTGAGATTTGATTGAATACATTATCGTTGTTATTTTTTGTCCAAATTTCCTAATTTACCCTTCTCTATTCGAATCAGCTTTCGCATACTTTAACTAATTCAATGAAATAAACTCTCAACCAATTGATTGACTACATTCTTGGTGCAATTTAATTGATTGACTACATTCTTGGTGCAATTTACTCTATAAATCTTTATAATTTATTCACTCAACCAATTTACTATATCCTTAATCTCTTCATAGGCATGATTTATTTATTTTTATAATTTGAAGCAAAATAGGAGCCCCATAACTAATTTATTACTCTCCCGGTCTCAAGTTATGTAGTATTTTTTGTTTTTTGAAAGTCAAACAATTTAAATTTAATTGAAAATTTACATGTGAAATCTTTAACTTTTTAAAAATTAAATTTATATACTCTTTGTAAACTACGTAAAAAATACTCTATAAGTCACACTATTTGGCAATTCAAAATAACTAAAAGATATATGAAAAATTTACGATTAAAGATAGACATGTTTGAATCTCAAAATTTAAAAAGTGTCACGTAAATTGAGACGGAGAAAGTAAAAATGATAGGAAAAATTCTTTTGACCAGAAAATTTGGCCAGAATGGTAAAATAACATACTTCACATTATGTTATTTACCTTTTTAAACATTTTTACCATTTTAACTTTAATATATTTTAATTAAAAAATTAAAAAAAGATTAGTTTATTTTAAAATAAAAAAAATATTATAGACTTCTAAAATTTCAGACTTAATTCTGATCAAATTTTCTGGTTATTTAGTATTACCCAAAATGATATTATGGGCCAT